TTCAAATTTTGTCTTTACGAGTGCAAATGATTGACTTTTTTTTAAAGAAAACAATACGTTTTGTGAATCGTCAGATACAAATTTTCCCAGAGATGCTGAATTTGTAGGTGATGTAATGATAAAACAAAATGATTTAAATATTTCTTTACAAAGCAGAAATAAATCAATATATGATATGTGGAAAAAATTCATTGAGAAAGAAGTTGTTATTTTTTCAATTCCTTTCTTGCTTAGTCAAAACTTTTGAAAGAAACCTTTCCCTACTTGTCGAAAGTAATGAGTGAAAGTGAAGAAAATATCTATGAATCTTTTCAGGAATACCAGTCAGTTCTAGATTTATTAATAGAAGAATACAGCAGAAGATTCAGAGATCTTGAAAAGTATAACGCCAGCCTGAAACTTACTTTTCAGCCTCACTATCGGAGGCTTCCGAGGAATTACAAATGGGTCTTATTGTGTTTTCTGAAAATAATATCCTGAAAACTCTATTTGACAGCAAGGCTAATTTTATTTCAGACTGTCTTCACTTCCTAATACTTACAATTTTCACTACATTTTCTTTGCTTTTCTGATACTGAAGCAACCAGATTTCGTCGATATTCAAAGACAGATTTGACTAGGTAACTTCATGAAATCGCTAAAAAGAGCATAGCATAATAAAAACACCCTTAAACTTATTTTATGATTCTTTGACTTTTTTACATGACACAGTGAAGGTTCGTATAAATGTAAACTGATTTAATTTCTCCGCAGATATTTACACAAATGATGTAAATGTTTTTAGCATTCATTTATTATTGAGTTACCCCTTTTATTGAGATTTCATAAATTTGAATAACAATAGTGAATGTACTGACTTCAAAATTATTTCCACAAATTTTATTAGGAATATTAATTATTTTGAGGCAGGTTTAGATATTGTTCTAATCATAATTCACAAAGTGAGATTGTTACGATCATTGAAAACATGTGGTAGAAGTAATTATAAAATTGTAGAAAGCACTATTTAATATTTAATTGATTATTTATTTTAAAAACGTTTAAAATCCGTTTTCTCTGAGCTGGCATCAGCAAATTACATATTCAACCTCAAATTTGTCACTTTGCCAAATTTCTCAAGCTGAAGATTAGTAGAAATTTATTGCATTTACACATTGAATATAAATGACCGTCAACAAATGCATTATCATTGTCAGGATTGTAAATTTATTCTTGTAAAATCGAAAAAAACTATTCTCGTCAATAAAAACAACTCCGTGAAACTTAGTTCAATTTATACATTTATTAGATATCTTATGACATCTTTTCCTTCTGAAGAGAGTTTATCTCTTCAGAAGGAAAAGATGTCATTTTTCTCAGTAGGAAAGATTATTTTACCGCTACTTTCAACTTCATAATATTTAACCCTCAAAAATCCAAGATCTTCCATGAATAAAGCGAGCAATATTTCGGAGTCATCTGTAAAGTCTAGTTGGTCTCTTCAGAAAACAATGTTAATTTAACAATAATTTTGTAATCTATAACATTTTGTTTTATGTGATTCTGTATGATAATTGCTATTATTATTACAATTACTTGTAGAATAATCAAAAATTAACATTTATTCATAAAAATATCTGCTTACACATAATTTTGATACAATTCTCAAAAGCGTTTTATGTCGTAGCCAAGGAATAGTGCCGACAAACGATAAATACACGGAGCCCGTTTATTGCAAAAATGCATTTTGCTGAAATAGAATCAACTCCGTTTATAATTTATTTAAACACTCGAATTAAATACTTCAAGTATCTCGGACCAGTTTTCTATTTTCCTTTAAAAATATGTTTGAAAAATGCAAAATGTCATAATGTGCATAGAAAACCATTCATTAAATGAATTGCAATAATCAGCATTTAAAATGTCCAAAGCATTGACAGGTTTAACCAATTGCCATGTTTCCAATGAAACTACGCTGAATTTCAGCAAAGTTATTGTTTCTTTTGATTTCAAACATGACGACACATGTTATTATATTCTTTGCATAATAATAATATTTTTCTGTTGCTGGAGAAAAAAAATTAGCAATTGAAATGAATGCAATGAAAGTCACCAAATAAAAAAAGAAATTCAGCGAATCTAATATTTTCATAGTTTCTTTTCTTTTTTTTAGGAATGGGAAGATGAACGCCTCAAGTGGAACCCACGTGATTATAATGGCCTGGAGAAAGTTCGCATCCCTTGTGATAAAATTTGGTTGCCAGACATCGTTCTTTATAACAGGTGAGTGACTGAACACAGCGAAGGCTGGGCGGATTGTCGAGAAAAATTGATTTTTAGATTCGGTCTACTGTCAGATACAATCCTATCATTTGACAGCAATTTCATAGCGAAATATTCAACATTGCATAATCTTTTTTGCCTTTTTCCACCGCATTTCTGCATTTTTAATTTAAATATCAATTATTAATACGTGATAACTGCGGGCTCGATGCTTTAATAGTTACTATCAAATTTAAACAGGTTTTGAAATCTTAACAATGGAATATGATCCCCTCATGAGGATATTGGCATGCAGTTTTTATTGTGTGGATTTCAAGTCAATATTCTCTTAAATAGGAATCATTATCTCTGATAATCAATACACGTGTGCGTCTGGGATCATCAATATTTACGAAGTACCAACTCTGATTTCAAACAAATATTACTGATATCTTCTAAAAGAATTTAGCAAGTTTCCCGAAAATTAATTTTTTTTATTTTAATCGTGTAAAGATAAAAAAAAATACCAGAGTTCTTGAGAAGTTCTTGGTCAGAATAAGAAGCCGTACCAAAGAAGATTCTGATGTTTGGTCATTGTGTTAGATTTTGGGAAAGACATCGGGATGTGAAATTTTCAGCCCACCTTTGTACTCATTCAATTTCATTTTAAATCACGTAATGCTAAATTTCATTTTAGTTCATTTTTATATCTCATCATTATTATCTATTCATTGAATATTTACATCAGTAACAACTGATCGTTTATACTGGAACGCAAGTGATAGCAAGTCTCTTCCATGCGTCAACACTCTTCTTAGTATTCCAGTTGTTTTCAATACGCCATCGTTTTGGATAGTTCCAAGAATTCTCCTGCCAGTCTTTTTCTGAAGCAATCAGATAATGAATGGCACAACTGTCACATTTATTTTCCACAACTTATCATCACTATGACAAGGTCGGGATACATATCTTTTAGATTTACTCTAATCTTCTGGAACAGAGAAATCGACTATCTGGACTGATTTGTCTTGTTTACTTCAACCAAACCCGGTCTTCTGATCTAAATTGAGTGATGCGTTTGAATCCAAGAGTCACAGAGGATTTCAATCACGTGGACAGATTCTGACCTTCATGGTCAACATTTAATAACTTGCACATTTTACCCTTGGTTATCCCAACTCAGTCATGTATATTATATTTCCCCCTCTCTCTCTCTCTCTCTCTCTCTCTCTCTCTCTCTCTCATTATATGCTTCTTTATTTTGATACAAGTTATACTTTATATTTTCTAATTTTTTCCCATATTTGACTGTTTGTGGCTTAAGAGTAATTCTATTCCCTCTTTAAGATTTTCTCTACGTAATTGTGTCCATTTGTACTCCGAATCGTTCGTTCTATGGCTTTGGGTTTACCTTGTATTATCCTGTTTGTTTTAGAATTTTTGGTTATTTTTAATCTTTTTCTATGTACTCTTCAGTTCTATTTATTTCTGAGTCGACACATTCCTCAATGCTCACAAGTCTTCTACCTTCGTTTCTTTTAACGTATAACCTGTTATGGCGTAGTTCCAAATGCTTTATCATCATTTTTTTTGCTTTGTCGCCCATGTTTCTGAGTTAATATTTTGACTAGTTCATGAATGGAATTACTTCACAGTGGAATATAACCATGAATTTATTCCTTTCATTTTCTATCATAGACTTCGATTTCTAATATTATCCTTGTGGAATATTCTTTGATGACTTTTTCCTTCATTTAATTATGTTTGATGGTATATCTTTTCGAAATACCTTCACTTATTTAGCCATCATTTTTAAGCGTTCTTATGATTTTCTTATTGGGTTGCCAAGTCCCTTCTATTGCTACTCTTGTTCTCCTATCAACAGCATTGCATATTTCTCAATACTAAGTTCCATTCCAATATCCTGGTTGAAAATTCTGACATAGTTTGAGTTTCTAGTTCTTTCTTCGTCTTCTTGGCAAAAATGTTAAGAATAGGATCGACGTAAGATGTGTTAGAAATTATGAATATATAAATATATACGAAGTGGTTCTCCTTTTCTCATTGACTTTGGAAGCTTTGTTGCATTTCTTTAATTTATGCTTCATCCATAGGATAAATTTTCAAAGTTTCCATTCTCTTCGTTATGAAATATTTAGCATCTTCAGTCATTCTATTTTCCACACTTGCACTTTGTGGAGTCTATCCATTCCACAATTAGATTATTCTTTCCTGTCTTAGCTCCTTTCTATCTGTTTTATCCAAGGTATATTATTCGTCACTCAACTTTCCTTTCTGCATGCGGCTTACAGCCATATCACATTGAAAAATTATTTACATTTCGGCATTAAATAACCCACAGATATTGATATGCCGCTACACAAAAACGACTAATCTTTTCGGCATTTTTTTTGTTCCTCGGCAAATACTCGTAATAGATTTGCGCTGTTAGGATGTTCTGTACCATTGGTGAGCATATTATCGGTTTGAAGTTGCTTGGAAGTGTTCCTTTCTTGGTATTTTCTGCATCCGGGTAGTTTTCCTCTCTTTTCGACAAGTGATAATTCATTCAGACATTTGCATAATTGTTACGCTTGTCTCTCGTAAATGGCCATGAGTCGCTTAAGCCATGAGCAGGTGAGTTTCAAGTAGTAATTTGTTTTGATACTTTTCAGATTTTCTGAGTTTATTTCAGCTTCCCAGTCTTATGATTATTCTAATCAATTTTTCAAGAAAACCAACCACTGAACATGACTTTTATGTTCTTTTCCTTCCAATGGGCTCGCTCATCATTCTTACTTTCTCAGTTTCATGTTTCTTATCTTCTTTTCAGTTGTTTTCCTAAAGCCTTTCTTCTCTTTCTTCATATTTCCATAAATTCAAAGTCAAAGAACCACACTGTTTCAATATTTTTTTTACACTTGATCATTAATATTTGATTTGATGGGGAAAGCTTCGCAGTTCTGTCCCATTTTTACATTTCATCTAACATATTTGCGTGGCTTTATACTTATAATAAAAATAAATTTACTGTTCTTTCTGCTGTGTTTCATATTCTGGCCATCAGTAGCATTGGAATAGTTATCTTCCCGGAGATCCTGAAGGACGTAATTGTCGTTAGAGTAACTTACAATCATAGGACGACAACCGCATCCCTCTTTTTGACAATCAAAGGAATACTTATCTATCATGATGTTCAAATCTGTCATTTGAATCGCACTTTCTTTTTAATTTTTTTTTTCTGAGGGTGGAGTGGGGGGGTGTTGATTTGTCATTATTATGAATTGTGTTGTGATTACACCAGTCCTAAAAGTTTGTTACTTCTGCTTCTGATACTGAGACAGTGTGGTTCACTAATAAACTGAGATAACATACTGTTCACAACACACTAGATTATTACTATTTTATTTCCTTTGATTTCTGGGGTGTACACACTTCTTTCCTGGGTTCCGCCCAGAGACCTAAGGTTAGAAATGGCATCAGCTTTAGGATGATGCATGCTGTAGCAAGTGAGAAGCTTTCTCGTTTTGGTGTCCACTCGCTTAATGTCAGCTATGGTCCAGTTAATGATTTTAAAGCTGTATTGCACCACAGGGACAGCCAAGGTGTTTATGGCTGATATTCTGTTGTTTTTTGGGTTTTTTTTTTAATTCAGCTCGGTATTTAGTAACAGACGCACACGCCTCTAGTACTCCTTTCTTACCTTCTCTAATTCTTTAGGCTTCATCTTGTTCCAGTTAACTAATCTGTGTGACAGTCTAAATCTATTGAGGGTGTTTCTGTAATTCTCCCTTTCTTGAATGTTACTTTTGCACATTTACTTAATTCGAAGTGCATACCTATGTCGTCACTGAAACATTTTACAATATTGAGGAGGCCCTTCAATTCATTGTCGTTTTTGGCAAAGAGTTTGAGACCATCCATGTAGAGTAGGTGATTGAATATTTTTGTCTAGTTTGTAACCAAAGCTACTGTTGTTTAGTTCATGTGTAAGGGAGATTAAGGACAAACAAAACAGAAGGAGTGACAGAGAGTCTCTTTGAAAGATTACACGTCGCATATTCAGACGACTAGAGATGGCAGTGCTTCTAGTGTGATTTAAGTATAGTATGGTGTTCCACATTCTCATGCTGTACTTAAGTAAATTTACTACCACAGGGGAAACTTTGTACATTTTCAAAGTCTTAAGGATTCAAGAGTGTGGCACACTATCAAAGGCTTTACGATAATCTATCCACGCTGCGCTAAGCTTTCTACGTCGTCTCCTGCAATTTTCCAGGATCATTTTGTTTATCAGTAGTTGATCTTTGCAGCCATATGAACCTCTCTGCATCCCTTCTGTTCCAGTAACAGAATGTTGTTTGCTTCGAAATTATTATTATTATTATTCATGTTCATCTTTACACCAATTTGAAAACCGAATGACAACGTTCCTTTTTTTCAACTCATAAATATCCTTTTGCTAATGGATCCGCAAAAGGTCGGGGTCTATAGTCTCAATCCTCTTGAAATTATAACTCATCTTTACTTCGATTCTAGTCTTTTAGTATGGTTTCATGTTTGCCGACTATTACGGGTACGACGCTAATTTTCATATTCTACGTCTTTCTCAGATCCCTAGCAACGTTCTGGTATTTTGTAATTTCCCGGCCTCCTTCATATATCCACATTTTCAATCTATCTGGTCCATTTTTGTGGCAATCAGATCAATTTCAATCTCAAAATATCGAAGTATTTTATATATATATATATATATATATATATATTGTTATTTTCCTGAACGATCCCTGTTTTGTACTGATAATGACTTGTGTTCAGCCATGTCAGCAAAACAGCCGAACAAAAGTCATTTGCACAGTTTCCAGCGTAGAACTGTTGGTACCCTGCCGCGTCTATTTTTGCTCTCTCTCTCTCTCTCTCTCTCTCTCTCTCTCTCTCTCTCTCTCTCTCTCTCTCTCTCTCTCTCTCTCTCTCTCTCTCTCTCCCTGTTTACTGGGTTTATAAACCTTCACATTGATGTACTTTTCCTGATGACTTTGTTCTGGGTTGCTATGATATGAGAACCATTTCTTTCGTTAAGTAGACCCTGTGTAATCACGGTCTTAATGGTTAGTCCGCGATGTTTTCTATTTGCCTTTTCAGCATTTTCTTTTCTCTCTTTTTTTTTCGTTCCTTTTTTACGTTTTCCACAAATTCTTCGTTTCATAAAATTATCATCACTTTTTTGTACGCATTTTCCTTCTATTTTGCCAGTTTGTACTGTATTCCCTGCTATCGAGTCCTATTCTGTCTTTTTTCTTTTCCAATAGTTGTCCCTTTCGTATTTGATAGTGAGTTTCCTTGTGTGTCAATCTATTTATTTGTGTTTGTCTTTCGTCCAGAGGAACAATGATCCAGTGTTCCTCATAATGATAATAAGACGCAAGAGTCCATCTCTTTCTCTCAGGTTTTGTATCAAGGATTTTTATTAACCTTTTAAGACATTCTTTATTAATTTTTATTTTATTTTCTCTTGTTTTATTGAATCAGATTCGAGTATTCTTACGGATTTATAAAATGGTCCTCTAAGATTACTACCATGATATTCTTGTTACCCGGTATGTCGATACCATCTGTTGTTACGTTTTCCCTTAGTCATTACTTATAATGCGCAACTCTCTAGAACAAACTCTATTCTGATGTCTTTGGTGTAGTTTTTAACTTTGTTGGTCAATATTTATTTTTTATCTTTATTAAATGAAGCATTATCAAGATTGTTCATTATTAATTTTGACTAGTATTTACTTCCATCTTAATTTCTTGTTGCTTTTAATAGCATCTAGACAAAAAATAATAAAAAACGGTTCTTTTTTATTTGGAAATAATTTGATATTATTCATCTCAATAAGCTGGTTGGACCTTTACCCTTGGAGAATGGGTATTCTTTCTAAAGTAATAAGATTAGGTTCAATGTTATCTAATAGCTATGACAAATAGCGGAGACAGAATCCATCTGAAAATTCCCTTATTTCATACATAGTACTGATAAGGATTCTCCTTCAGCAATCAAGCCCACATTTTACTTATTCACGTAGTAAGCTACGAATATCAATACTGATTTGTTAATCATGAGCCTTTCAAGTATGCTAAGAAGGATTATGTCATATGTCTTTTTCTATATTCAGTCATCCCTTTGTATAGTATCATATCATTCATTCCTACCCTTTGGTTCCTACCCTGGACCTTTACTATTCTTCTGGTAAGAAGTCCCTGATTTCCATTTATTTTCTTGATATTTTCTTAATCAGGATTGTCTGCGTCAATGGGAGGCATATGATCGGGTATGTATCTCTTCCCTTGGGTTATTTTATCTATGTCTTTTGGAATCGAACTTCTTTCACCTCTGATCATCCATTCAGGGTGGTTTTGAAGGTGTTGGAAGGCGAACATTTTAAAACCATATCGGTAGATTGTTTCAGGACCTGGTATCTATAAGACGATTTTACTTAAATATATTCTTTCTCTGAATTCTTTATCCAGATATTTTTTTTTCATTTTTGTTAACCACCCTGGTGCTTTATTGGGTTTCTTTTCCATTATTATTATTATTATTATTATTATTATTATTATTATTATTATTATTATTATTATTATTATATCATCATCATCACTTCTTGTCACTTCTGTCCACTTCAGCTGTTGACGAGTTTAAATGTTTTTTTTTATATTTTTAAATTCTATTTCTGATTTTCTTGGAAACTTTTTTGACGTAGAAACTGGCGTCCTTTATTATCTCAAAATAAAAGAAAGCATCTAGTCCCTTAATATAATTAATTCTTTACTTTAAGAACGGAGTAGATTTCAAAATATAATATTAGTTTAATTATAACCCGCATTGGTCATTGATATTATCTATATGACATTTGCAATTTTGATGCAAGACATCTAAAAATGTTGCAATACAACTAAAAATCAGTATTTTTATGTTATTTAAAAGTAAACATATAGAATTTTCAAATGTTTCTTCTCTTTTAAATTTCTTCATAGTCTGCAATAAACTGGAAGAAATATTCGTTGTTTTAAGCAAGTCGTTATTGTAGTTACAATTTGTAACATAATATTTTTAATTTAATTATTTGTCTTTTACTATTTTGTGCTTATCCGGCAATTATGGGGACGCTACACCAGTTAACATTCAAAGACAGTGATATAATTATATCAGTCTTAAAATTATTTCTTTAACCCTTTGTTTGGTTATATTGTAACGAATCACTATTATGTGACACGTGGACAGCAATATTAGTTTGCTCATTTATTGCTATGCTAAATTCTCAGATTTTTTTTTTACATTTTTCAAGCTAAACATTTAATCCGTTCATAGTATGAAAAACATGATTAACCTGAAACATTTCTTGTGTAAATTCTTTGCTCTACCATTTAATGAACAAACAATGAATTTTCATCTGATAATCAATTAGACTCATGAGACAAAACTACATGACTACACAACTACAAAATCTAAGAATTTAGGTGTGCCTAAAACACGAAAAATATGAAAGAATTCGATTTGACATTGTACAAATGTTGAATATTTAAGAGCGGAATTGAATCTGGTTTATACTTGCCAAACCACATGAAGCAAAAGATGATGGAATAGTTCCATGTTTGGTTTCAAATACAACATAATCGATAAATATGCTAATAATAACTTCGTCGCTGTGTTGTTGATTTTTGGCTATTGTATCTCATCTTCTTATTCCGTCCAAATAAATTGCCTTTATTTTTTCGCTTATTGAAAGGCTTGTCTTGAAAGAAAGAACAATGTACCGTTTTTGAATTTGTATGTAATTTGTTCTGTATTAAGCAGCATCGATTTATCCATTACTGTGAGGAGTATCAATTCTTTAAGAAAATAACAACTATATAAAAAGACAAAAGTAATTTTAAATAAAATTTTATTTTAATTCCTTTGTATTTAACTAGATTCATTTACTATATTAATTCTGCTTAGAGTGTTTATGCATTTTTAGCGTGTCTATATGTACTTACGCATAGAAAAAAATCATTCTTATTGATACAAGATCTTTGTGAAATCAATTAATATTTGTTTTGTTAATTATTGACCTTTTATTTATGATGCTTCTTATATCTGTTAATGTTATGTTTCTCTATTTTCAAATATATTTTATTTTTAAGAATTATTATTATTATTATTATTATTATTATATATGATTGATTGTTATAATAATTAGCAATACCTAATTTATGCAATACTCTATTCAGTATTCAGTAAAATATTTTTCTAAAAGTCTTAAACATTTGATGACCGATATATTTGTATGTAGAGGCTTCATATAGGGATAGATATCAAATCTCTGTATCCACTGGTCACCAAAGACTTTTAGAGTAACATTTTAAAAATCAAAATCTAACCTCTCACTACTGACGGACAAAAACATAAAATATATTCCGTCTTATTACAAACCTAATTCCAGTTTAAACAAACTCCCATATAAAGTTAGTGTTCCTGACGTGTTCTTGTTAAATCAACCAACATTTTCTAATGTTAAAGAAACACAGTTCACAGATAGTATTCTTGGCACTTCTTGAGGCTACAAGTTGAATATCCAGTTAATATATGCTTCTATAAGATTATAAGTTCTCTTTATGTATGTCTACATGTATGCAGACCTATGAAAGATGTTCAATTTGTTATCAACCACATTGAAAGTCTAATCCTATAAATCATTCTTATCAACTTTTCGATTTAGGACAAACAAAGACAAACATAAAATGATTGAATTGAAAAATGTTGATTATAAAATTTGGCCAGCTTTATAATAAAGAACGTGATAAATGTCAACTGTAAAACATTTTGTCAAAAATGAAATGTTACAATTATCACTTTTTACATATTCAATCAATAGTTAATTAATTAGTCTTTATGGAATTGTCAGTTTGTTTCCTGAGGAATAAATTAGTAATTATCGGATTTTTCGATAGGTATATGAATCATATAAACTATACCTGTGTTCTCCTATTATTTCTCTATAAATTAAGATATGTTTTCGGAGTTTTTACTGAATGTGTGACATAAGTCTCATACATACTACATATTTATATATACTACGGAACAATGTATTTTTAATTCAAAATTTAAAAACAATAACTTCTATGTTCGAAAGACTTCTTTTAAATCGATAGATATCCATTAATGATAACAATATGCATTAATAAAGGTCAATATTAATAATTATTTTTATAAATATGAAACGAGCCACTGAACACAAACTTTTGCTTCAGTGGAATATTTTCATTAGTTACACAGTTTCTGATAGAATTTAAAATATACATCACTTCAAAAGTCTCTTTCAAAATCTAATCTTTTCTTTAAGTTTAAAATATAATTTTATTATCGATTTTGGTGACTACGAAATCCGCTTACGGATTTCCGCTTGAGGGAAATGCGTTACAATGAATCGCTCTACTTCGACGAATCTGCAACATACAACATGCGCATTAGGCCCGGTGCCCTTTTTTAAAAAGTGCGTAATTTGTTTTGATATTTGCTCACCGCGTGTCCCATCTAATTTACAGGATCAAACTTAACATAAAAACGGAGCAAATAGGGGGAAAGGAGAAAGGGATGATGAAGTTGACAGATAAAATTGTGCTTAAAATTGGGAAGTGGAGAAGGTAGATTATAAAGTGCTGCATGAAGACAAAGCAACAAGTGAAAAGTACAAAATGGAAACGAGAGTGTAAGAAGGAATAAGAGATATAGAAAGAGTATGTTAGCTGCAGGGAGGTGAAACTGATCTAATAAAGAAAAATAATATAAACAATATAGATCTTATCTGTAAAATAAAACCTCAAGAAAGACTGAAAAGCGTCAACATTTTGGTCATTATCACGAAACATTAAATAAAGGGAAAGTTAATGATTAGGAGACGAAAATACAAAGATGATTACTGTCAAACATGAACCAAGAGAAAAAAGGAATAAGATGATCAATTTGATGTGAAACAAAAACGATCATAAGACATGACGAGCCATAAATTGTCTGTTCCCATTTCACCTAATATTGATTGTAATAACGATGGTATTTTCAACCATTTTGTTCACAAAATGAGTTAAGAAATATAGACGTAAATGTTACCAGAAAGCTAACCAGTGCTTTCTTGCGAGCCCAGTAAATAGAAATATGGAAGATTAAGAAGATGTAAATTATATTCTTAACATTTAATTCTTACAATGATTGCTTCTCTACTTGCTAAATAGAAACAACAGTGAACTAGCGTAAAACCAGCGCTTGCCAACAGAGCCATCGCGACAACGTGGTATGTCGCAGAGCACAGGTGGAGATGTCCGGAAATTTTAAATTAAATAACAAAATTGAGGGAAAATGCAAAA